TATATATATATATAATATAGGTATAATATAACATAATTTTTTTCATAAGACATTCTTTTTACAAGATTCATTGAGGTAATCGAAACTTGTTACACAAATCTATTCCTATTGGACCTCATGGGATGTGTATGTTCGTTAAGTTTTACGTTATCGCAGGTATGTTGACAGAAAAAATGGATTAGTAAAATATTTTGGATGATTTATCTCGCGAAGTGTCATCAAGTACTAAAAGTGTTCAAAGTACTAAAACCAAATCTTTCAGATATCAAACATTATCGGCAATATGGAAGTAGCTATTAGATCTATCGGTTTCACTAGTGCAGTGTTGTGTTATTTATTCATACATAATTACATGGGACAAAGAATCACAGATATGAACTCAAGTATATGTGAGAAATTGTAAGTATAATTCACTTCTTCAATAATATATATTTAATGTCTTTTAAAGTATTTTTGGCATTCGATAATAGTTATAGTGTGTTGATAATAAAATTTGTTTATTTAAGAATAAAAAGAAAAAATTGATATTAATAAAATTTATTAAAAATGAGAAAATATATGTGTAAGATAAACGCATCCATTAAATATATTATTTGCACAAGATCTACAAAAATGTATATATACGATATATATAAATTATAATATTTCTCTCTTTAATAAAATATCATTAAAAAATTTTTTTTAGATCCATTTTTTAAATCGGCATCCAATTTTTATTTAATTAACATCTATTTGAAATTAAATGTCTTCGTTATTTTATTAATTGGTAATTGCATAGTTATAATGATTTTAAAACAAAAAAGTTGATCTTGCAGATATAATTCTGCATGGTATGATGCAGTTATTTCAGAACAGAACTCATTATTGTTAATAATGAGACGATGCCTCCACCCACTTGTCCTGACTGCCTGCAAGTTTTACGTGATGTCTTTACAAAGTTTTGGAATGGTGAGAAATTAGTATATTCGATACATGAAAATAAAAACAAAAGATAAATAATGTGCGTTTTCTGAAGGTACTTCAAATGACGATCTCCTATTGCATGTTTATTAAACGAATCTAAAAATACCTCTGCTAATTATAAATAATGTAGAAAATATCCATTTCAAAAATGCTATGTCAAACATGTGTTAATCTTGTTTTATACAATATCATATCAAAAATTTTTCTTAGTAAAAGGAAAAGTATATTAATGCTATCTGTGCAGGTAAATAAGTGTACATGAAATAAATGTAATATTATAAGTAAAATAAATTTATGTTGACAAAATTCATGTTAATCTTTAAAAAAAAAATAAAATATTGGGATATAAAGCAGTATTAACAAAAAATAAGAATAATAAAAGTAATGCAATAATCAAATATCTTCGAATACTATGAATTTAAGTTAGTGTTATTTATTTGTGATTATATATATATTTGCAATTTATCTTAAAGAATAATTTTCAATATTAATGTTTAAATGACGGCACAAGCTGTTCTTATATTCTCTATTGCTTAAAATGGAAAAAAAAATTTGTCTATATCGCATTTATCGACACAATAGCGCAACATCGTAGTGTATATATACATGTATATTTTCCATAATATTATTAGAATACTGTACGCGCGCTATCAATCGATTACCTGAACGCCTCTGAAAAATTCTCTCTTTGTAAAAAACGCATGCACTTCTCTTATAAATAATTCACTTAATAATCTCGCGAAATTGAATGAAACGAATGAATGATAAGAATAATTGAGTAAACCTTAAAAAAGGAATGAGATAACTGCAGCAATAAAGCGACGATCAATGATGAACTCTCATTTCGACAATCAATCCATTTATATCCTTCGAAATAAATGGAACATCTCGTAGAGAACGTTACTACAAGTTGAAGCGATTTCTTCTATCGATTACTATCTTCTATTGTGGCCTTATCAAAGCGAATGGAGGGCTTGTTTGATGAGAATCGTTAACTTTACCGTCCTGCTAGCATCTGCATTTGTTCATGTAATTGCAATTGTAAAAGTATGTATATTTCATAATCTATATATATTTTCTGTATAATATAATATTCGTATAATCCGTTTGTAAATATTGATTAAAAATTTTTTTATCTATTTTAATAGAGAATTAAAATTTTTTGATTAAACATATTACAACACTATTTCATTAAATTTATACGTAAGAATTTGACCACGTTAGCAATTTAGTTAATTTAGTCAATATGTCTCGGTGATTACCCCCCGATAAATAATGTTCACTTTCTTGCTTTTATCAATTACTAATAACATATGTTTTAGATATTAAGTATTCTTACATCTGAAATTACTATGGAATTTCTGACAGTGAGATACTAATATTTTTATCTACATTAGATTTCTTGTCCCAGATGTATCAAATATACGTATCAAATTCATAGACAAAGTAGCTCAGTCGATCATTATTTACGTTCCTAATACTTGACATTTAACAAGATTTATTTTTTATTTTAGCATAAATAATTTTTTTTTACATGGATGTGTACGTGCGCGCGTTTATCAAATCTGCAATTAAGTCATTCATCTATTGTTATTTTTACGATCTATTATCATTTGTACAAATAATTATGCGTAATAAAATATTTATAACAGAATAAAAATAATCAATATGTCATAATAAAATAAAATTTTGGATTCTTAAAAAATGCAAATTCGATTGTTGTGAATATGCTAACATATCGATCGGTAGCCTAATAAAGAAAACACAGATTAATCTGGATTTATTTTTTTTCTTATTATATTTTTTAATTAACACATGATTATTTATTGCTTATAATTTTATTCTTCAATTTAAGGAACTATTGGAACATATGTGGTACGATTAGACGTTGCAAAAGATACGATGAAATCAAAATCATGCTCGAGCATGCTGAAACCACAAGATTATGGACACTTTATTATTTTGGTAAGAAAAATGTTAAACTTCGCTTTATCTGCAAGAGATGCGCTTATTTATAAAATCGCAGATATATTTCCGCACATGATATTGCGAGACTATCGTGCTCTCTTCATTATCGGTAACGAATATATAGCCATAAAAAATTTACGGTGATTAATATATCCACTTTTGTATTGTTATTTATAAGGAAAATATAAAAAATTTATTTATCATAAATCATTTTTAATCTAACGCAACATTTTTTTTTTAGTGATTCACATAATCACGATTACATTTTTAAAACGCATTTATTAGATTCATTACGATTATTTATTACGATCATTAAATTATGTAAATGGATTTAAAGAATTCTATAAAAAATGATTTGATTTTTTATGGTTATTTTATTCTAGCAAAAATTAGTGCTATTAATAATTAGGCGACGCTTCACCCCGTTTATCTTGACTGTTTGGTTTTACGTAATTTTCCTGCCGAATTTCGCATTGATAAGAAAAAGTACACCGTAATCAATATGCGTGAATTATGACAATCAAGAGTCAAGAATGTTCATTTTCTTAAAATACTTCAAACGGTTATCTTATATTGCATGTTTATCAGACACAAATCGAAGAATAATTTTATCAATGACAGACATAGAAATAATGTAAAAGATGTAGCCTTTTAGCCTATAATCTACGTTAATCTATGAAACAACATGTAATGATCTTGTTTTCAATGCCACGTTGAACATTCTTCTTTATATAAAAAAGAAAAATGTATTAGTTGCAAGATATAGATAAGTGTTTGTAGATATAATAAACAAAAAATATAAGTTTGTAACATATATTGATAGAGTATGTAATCTTGTTTTTAGAGTAATAAATCGTTGAAGTATTTAAGATAGTATTAGCAAAATGTAAACTAAAAAATCACAGAAATGCGTTAACCGCCGAGATATTCATGCTAGTTATTTAATAATTAAAAAAATAATGTATAACATTATACATACAAATCGCCAAAGTGACAATTTTCAACAGTTATATTTGAATAATATATAAACGACATCGCGTAAGAGATATATGATATTTTGCTTGCGTTGCTGAAATTGAAAAACCCGCTTATGTTAGATGTGTCGATGCAATTTGTACGAGGTAGAAGCGAAGTATGCTTCATCGTTCATAACTCACATGAAGCTCTGATCGTTTACGATTCACCAAAATCGGCGAAAGGTCGGTCGTAAGTCGCGAGATGAAGTCACGGCAAGCGAGACGGCGTCTGTGGAGGCCGGTTTAATAACATTAATGAAGGAACAGCTCGCGAAAAAGAGCAAGACAGAAAGGGGTCGGGAGGGGAGGAGAAGGCGAGGGGGAGAGCGTTCTCGTCCCCTTGATTTTCCTCGCCGCTCCTCTACCATTCTTTATCCTTAGAGGAAATAAAACCAGAGTTGTAAGAGCCGGATGATTAATATCCAGCCGACAGTTTGTGAAGCGGGCAGCCAATAAACGGGATAAAAATACTCGTGAAAAATAGCGCGCTCATTAGGGGTACAGTGACATCTGCGACTGCCTGCCTCGCGCGAAGGAGCTCGAGAAGGCGGGTCGAGGAGAGCGGTAGGGTGAACAGAAAAGGATAAGAAGATGAGGCAGAAGGAGTGGTACTCGAGAACGGAGTACTGGAAAACGCGAAGGGATAGATTTATTAAAGTAATGGCAGATTATTTTAATATTCCAATGGGAGTGCGCGCTCCATTCGCATTGTCTCGTGCAATTCAATAATCTTCACGCCTAAGCAACCCTTCTCACTGAAATGTCATTATTTCGAAACTAGACGCTGTCACTTTGTTCCTTTCGTTGATGTCTAATACATGAATAAGAGACAAATAGATTTGCCAAGACGAGAGAAGCATTGGTGTTTAAACGACAAAATCTCCCATTTCGAATCGCGAAATTCGACTCTCGTACTTTATACGAATCTGTATTCATGCCTCAAACATAGCGTTAAGTGTGCGATGTGGATATGAGACAATATATGTAGCATCGACGACTTCTGCCAGGAATCCCGAAAAAGAGTCCTGTGCTCCGTTTATTTGAGTTCAAAGTAGCTCGAGCTAAATTTTTGCCGAGAATACAACAGATATAACGCAGCTGTTGGCTTATGAAAGCTGTAAGTGTTGCTGCCAAAGCAGTGATATCTAAGTAATCGACTCGATCAATACGATTACTATATTTTACTCTTCATTATTAATATGTTTTGTTATTAACTTCTACATTTTTCTATATCTTTGTGTTACGTGAAAAATAAAAACAGCATAAAAAATACGTTTCGTATGAGTGTTATAGAATAATAAAGATTGGATAATAAAAGATACATTAGAGAACATAAGATAAACGGGAATAATTAACAGCGGGATAAATGAGTTGCAGTATCGTCTAATGATAAAATCAATAGTCATCATGAAGTCGTTAAGAAATCACGGCTATTAATCAAACGTTCATCGTAGAATTATTAAAAAAGAACGACCGTGAAATATTTATCATAGAGAGACACGATAGTACTCGTTCCTTACACAATTACACTGATTCATTCGCAGTGTATAATTTTAATCAATACAATTTAATTCTAATAATTTGGCAACGGTGAAAAATATGGAAAAGAAATTTATCGTCGTACGATATATATTGTGTCTGAGCAAAAGCGAATAATAATTCTTCAGAATAAGTAAAATCGCAGATGCACATCGGGATAATTTCCTTCTTGGCATTAGTCCGTACACGATATCGTTTCATTTCGGAGTATCATTGCGCGAATCGAGAAGAAAGGAGCTTATCTTTTCATTCTTGCTCTCATTGTATTATTTCGATCCATTTGGCAAAACTGAGAGTCTACCGTACCAGAGAAGACGCCGTTGCCAAACAAGGAAACAATATATATTTAAAAAAAAATTCCGTTTATTAATTATAAAATACTAATCGCAATACTCGTTAGAATTTACGTTATAAATCAGCTTTCGCATTATTTCTAAGAGATTATGCCGGAAACGATATGTTGCAATTACCCCTCCCATAGAGTTGAACGTATTCTACAACATAACTACAACTACCACAGCTGCCATTATGGGCATCGGGATTACAATCGCAACCATCAGAGCACTGATATACGCCCGCCATCAAAATCACGTGCCACAAAGTGGCGCGATTGTATTTTTCTCTCAATTTTTTTTTTCCCTACTCTTTTTATTTTCAATCACGACACGCGGCGCGGACCCGATCGACCGTTCGATCGCGACATTGTACTCGAATCGGCCGGCATAATCTTGACGTATATTTTTCCGGACAGCGCGAGCTGCGCCATGGTGGATGCTGGCCGGCACGGCGAGATATTCGTTAGGGGAGGGCAATTTTTAAAAATTAAACGTCCCACTTTATCGTTACTCGCGGCGATTAATAATAACGGGCGCGATCGGGCGCGAGCGAGCGCGTATCTTCTATAACCTTTCCGGGATATAAATCTGCGAAATTCTGGAATTATCAGGCGGCGGGGCATGAAAGGCTATTTCCGTCGCGCGGAATCGCGGGCAATATTTTACCGCCCGGGATTGGGGTTGAACGCGGGACACATCGACGTTTGATATTTTTATGCAGTGGCGCCACCGCGACGAGATTTACGAGGCAGATATGCGATCACAAAATGTCCGACACTAAATCAAACATGTTGCATCGGAAAACATCCGAAATTATTATTGGGACTTTTATTGGATCAACGGGAATGAAATAAACGTGTGACGTAACTTTATATTCCGTTTCTCTTCCCCCCTTTCTCTCCCCCTCGCCACCCTCTATCCACCCGTAGCGCGCGCGAACGCGCCGTTCTATCCGATCTCTTGCGGAATAAAAGGCTAACTTTATGATTGATTCGCCTTTTTTACGAGCCTTTTTTCGTCGTACGTCAGTGCCGAAGGCGATGGATGGATCCTACGTTCTCTGTCGATACCGTTCTGTCTCGTTTCTTCAAGCTAAATGCGCGGATTCCATGCGAATCGCGAGAGGAATTTCCTTTCGATTTACTCATTAGTCCGTTAATGTGACGCCAATGAAACAAGGATGGCATTAAATTAAAATAACAGATATCTCGTACGAATCATTATACGCACGAAAGAAGAATATTCATCATCTTATTTCGTGAGAATAATCTATTAAGGGCTATATTTTGTAATAGGCAAAGAATCTGTTTATTTAACACTCAAAAAAATGTCTTGCTGATATAGGTAGATTTCTAGGTGTCACAACAAAACTTTATCGCTATTTTTTGTATCTGTTAGAATATTGTCTGTTACATATAGAATTTATAGCAGCAACATTCTAATAATATCTTCTAGAAAATTTAGGTCCCATTGCCAAATGTTAATCACTGCATTGGATAAATATGAGTTTCGATACTACAGAACGATCTTTGTGAGAAATATAACTGCCAATTATAACTGCAGCATCGAAAAATTGAGAAAAATTGTTTAAAAGAGCTAGATAGATTGAGCGCGTTATACAAATATGTTAGACGTGAGGATTATATATTCATTTGTTTCTTGCCGCTAATTTTTTCTGTCTACCACAGCCAAACTTTATAACAAGTATGATTGGCCTTAACATGGATAGGCGCCACAGAAAAACATTCTTTCTAAATTTCACAAACAGTTCAGATATAAATTCTGTCTCTGTCACTTAGATCGATTAAATGCGAAACATATGCGATATCACAGTATTTGCTAATCATTTATGTACCTCAGTTAATTTTGCGCACCCAGAAAATTTTTGCTGTAGTTGCAATACCACTTTTTTGAGTGAAAGAAATATAAAAACATTAATTTCTCTCTTTAAATTAATATGTGCGATATAATGGTTTTTGAAACTTGCGTCATGAACAGTCGAAAGATTCGTACTTGTGTTTCATATTCTACTTTAACGCGTTCCAAACTTATTTACATAATTATCTTGCCATCTTTTCATCGAGGAATACGAATATTTAAGATTTGACAAAACGGCTTAGAAATCTCACATCTGGTTACGAAGGGATTTAATAATAAAAGAGAGAACAGGGCGCGCATCCCCAAGACCGCCGCAGCTTGCTGTTATTAATCGCGCTAATCGATTTGACGTTCGTTGATAATGCAGCGTCGGCGGGAGATGCAGTCTCGTATATGCCGTGTCTATCTTTTATTGATGCGGCCGGCGCTGGCGCCGGCGTCCGACGCCCCGTAATTGAGGGGACG